GCAGTATATATTTCTAAAGATGAAATTACCAGAACTGGCCACTAGAGAGAGCCAGAGACCATGCAATAAGCATTCACTATTAAAATAGTGTTTGCTGTAATCTGCCTTTTGAAGTTTTGGAACTGGTCCCCCACAGATACAGGGGTCATACTGTACTTCCAAAGAGAGGGGGGTGGTGGAAAAAGAATTGAGCAGGAGATGTTACAGTTCATTTTCCTAACACTCCCCAGTGGATTCAGTTCTAGAGTTTGGTATCCTCTGAATGTTGGCACCCCCAGTTCCGGCTCTTTTCTGGGGAAGTCAAATGTCCCCTGTCCCTGCATGCAGGCAAAAAGTCAGGTCTCGATCCAGAGGGTACCAAATCCTTGCTTTTTGCAACGGAGGCCCCGCAAGAAATGACCTCTCAGGATGGTACCCTTTTTTTTAATGTTGCAGTTGCGTCGAATGCAGGAAATGCTGGAGAAAATCCAGCAGCAACTGGGGGACTAGGCCCGCCAGCCCCTCCTGCTCCCTCCAGGGACACAAAACGTTTACATCTCATCCGAGCCCGTTGTCACCGCCGCCGCCAGTCCCAGCGCTTGGTCCCGATTCTGCACCGTCCACCTTAAGCCGCCGATGGTCTCTAAGTTGGACACACTCACACACACGTCGCTGCATCAATCGCCTTATAACCAAAGGTTGCCACGTGCCACGCTTCTCTGCCGTTCTCTGGAGAACGGTTCCTCAAGGCGCCAAGGATTTTTCTTTGCAAAACGCCTCTGCTCTCTTACCCTGCATGTGAGAGACCTCTGCCCCGCTCCCCGCGCTGATCACCGTTGCTCTGAAGATGGCTTCTGGTGGGTGCCTGAAAACCAGTTCAGTCGTGCGCAGAAGGGATCCGTGGTGAGTTTTAACAGACTTGGTGGAGAAGAGAAACAGCCAGGGCCGGCCCTACCGGGAGGCAGAGGGGAACATTTATCTTAGGAGGAAAGGAAGGGGTGGCTGGCCAAGGTGAGTGGAAGCAAATGGATCGCACAAAGAATGGGCGCTGGGTGTGTGCGGGTCGCCATCAGAGGATCCAGAGAGACGGGGCGAGCAAACCCCTTGTCGTCCCGGCGTTCGCATGCTGAGTCGGGCCTTGGTGGAGCTCCTGAGACAAACCAGTATGTATCAACCACCTCGTCTTTGCTGCTACACTGCCTCAGGCTATGGAAGCTCCATTTGTGGCTCACAGCCGTGGGCGATGGTCGTTGATCGATGCCTGCTAATTGAACTGGACTGTTCTGAGTTGCACGTGTCTGGAAAATGTCCTCCCGAGGGTGGCCGTGAATGCAAAGCCAGGAAGATTAGCCGCCAAGAGTGGTCGCAATTGACCAGATAGGTGGGGTATAAATGGAATAAATAAATAAATAAATAAAGATTCTGAGCTTGGAAACCTGAAAGCCTTCCTCTCGATCATCTTCAATTAGACATCACCTGCAAAAGCCTCTTTGGGGATCCGAGTGGCGCCCAGGAAAGTTAGTTTTTCTTGGACTACAGCAGAATGGCGTGATTCTGGGAATGACCACCCCAAATTAGCTTTTTTCCCCCTGGTTTCTGAGAAGGCGTTCGGGCGTGCTTAGAAACCATGAATCCCCAGAATTTTAACCCAATCCCAGCCCCCAACCTTCCCCCCCCCACAGCATCAAACCACCAAATGCATAAAGTAGAGTTGCCAGCTGATCAGAAAAACGCCTGCCTATCTTGCTTCTCTGCTTTTAGCAGCACTTTGATTTTCACAAACCAGCAAATGATGCTTTTCATTGCATGGAGAGAAAAATTCCTACCGCCCCCTGTTTCTGCAGATGATATGGCTGTGAACGTCCAACAGCTAATACAGTGGTGCCTCGCAAGACGAGCGCTTTGCGATGATCGGTTCCCTGTTTTGCTAACCGACTATCGCAAAACGAAGATTTTCGCACAGCTGATCGGCGGTTTCAAAATGGCTGCCGGGTAAAAAAAATGGCCGCCCGCTGTTTTCTGGGATGGATTCCTCGCTGCACGGGCAGCGAAAATGACCGCGCTATGGAGGATCTTCGCTGGGCAGTGAGTTTTAAGCCCATAGGAACGCATTGAAGGGGTTTCAATGCGTTTCTATGGGCTTTTTAAAATTGCTTAACGATGTTTTCATTTTACAATGATTTTGCTGGAACGAATTAACATCGTAATGTGAGGCACCACTGTATGTGGCATGGAAAGAGTGACCCATGTGAGCAGAGGCTTCATGGTGGTGTACAGTTCTTTTTTTATTCTTACATTCTAGGATTATTATTATTATTATTATTATTATTATTATTATTATTATTATTATTATTATTAGTCCTTTGGAAGAGAGTATCCACGAGGGATCAGTTCGAAGCTACCCCTCTGTACTGTGGATGCCCCCAAACCTATATTTTTGCATAATCTCTAGTTCCCCCTAGTGGCCAATTTTGTTAATACACCTTGGAAATACATATTTCTGAGTTTTTAAAATTTAATATTTTCGAGCAACCGATCACAGGCACCACATGTACTGATCCCGTGGATATGGGGGGGGGTTTCCTACGTATTCGTTATTGCTAATTATTTATTGCTGTTGATTGTGAATCATTATTATTTTACTGCCTCTGTAGCATTCCTGAATGATTCTTCGCCCAAAGATGCAGACAAAATGTCTCAGTATCCATTTTTAATCTCCTTTATATTGCTACTATGATGATGATGATGATGATGATGATGATGATGTTTTTCAGTAGAGTCATTGCACTTGTCCTAATCATGAACACAGAATATCTACAGAATATGGCCCTGAATACAGTCCTGGTGCCACTGGGGGGGGCATCTGGATGAGACTGTCTGGTATCCTGATGCAGTGTTTTCGTGGTGCAGGGGGAATGGAGCTAGACTCTCAGCACGGCCACGAAGCTATGCCTGGGTGGAGAAAGCAGCCACGTGGGTGGAATGTGCTAAGATTCACTGAATATTCTGGGATGTGCGACTCTCCTGCCTTCCCACAGAGGTCAAGAAGGTGACCCCACTTCCCCCCCGTCTTTGTTACTATTTTGTGACTCTTTTCTCTGAATTTCAGGATAAGATTGTGGGGGTGCGTGGGGGGGTTGGAGAATGACAGAGAGCGATATTGTTTAAGAACCCCAAAGAATGTTTCTAGCTATCCTGTTTTTTCTTGTTTCACATCTTGCTATTTTCTTACCCAAATAAATCCTATCTTGGCAGAGGTATCAAAAAGAAAAAAAAATCTATTTAACGAAGCTGTACAAAATCCTATGTTTATATGTTCAGAAAGCTCCGGTAGAAAAATATTTTTTATCCCGCCAATAAACATTGCTAATTTCAGCGAGCTGGTTTGGGACTGCCGATTTCTTGCACTTTGCAACTCAAGCTACCTTCCTGGTGTGGTACTGTACCTACATTCTCCTGCGAAAAACATGCAATAAAAAAAATATCTGCCATATGCAAAAGACCAAATTGCTCAAGAGAAAGCATGGCGATGTGCACTTTGACTGGGGCGTTTGTCTCTCAAGCAAACTCCGAGCAGAAATCGGAGTTATAGATCACTCTCATTGGAAGAGAAAATTCCTCGACCGCTGAAAAGTATCTGAGTACACAGCCAGTGATTTCCTCACTTGGGGGAATTTCCAGATGAGCTTGCTTTGTTTTGTGACTGGTCTTCAACACTAAAGCACCCAAGGAGGCAGGGAGGGACGACCCCTTTATCTCTTGAGTTCCTTGGAGGGAATGTAGGCGTCCAGACAATTATTATTGATAGACAGGATCCTGATGGATTTTACCCTGTGCATGCATAAAGGCAACTGCACAACTGGTTTCTGTGTTTGGCATGCTCTTGGTTACATGCCGGGCTGCGTCACCGATTGTGCAACCAAAGGAACCGCTGAGCACATGATGGGCAACAGAGAAAACAGGATGTTGAACTCGTGGGGCTGGGGAACACTGGATCATGCGATAATTGCCTCCTACAGTTCACATCATCCCCACCCAGCACAGATCATGGTGAGGGACTGAAGAGGTCCAAGGCCCCTGGAGAAGCGAAAGTATTCATTTTCCTAACACATGCAGCAGAACGTTGCTGGCGCTGCAGGTTAAACCGCAGAAGCCTCTGTGCTGCAAGGTCAGAAGACCAGCCGTCGTAAGATCGAATCCCCGCGATGGAGGGCGCTCCCGTCGCTTATCCCAGTTCCTGCCAACCTAGCCGTTTGTAAGCATGGAAAAAATGTGAGTTGATAAATAGGTACCACCTTGGTGGGAAGGTCATGGCGTTCCATGTCTAGTCACGCTGGCCACATGACCATGGAAACTGTCTTTGGACAAACTCTGGCTCTACAGCTTGGAGACGGGCATGAGCACTGCACCCTAGAGTCGGACACGACTGGACTAAACATCAAGGGGAACCTTTACAAAACACATGTAGCGCTAGCGTCTATCAGGGATGGGTGATATTTTCCCCAAGGAGTTTACAATCTCATATTTGAGAATCCATGGCCCTCACACTCCATGCGGCCCTGAGGGAGTCGTATCCACACCCCACATGTTATAAACCATGCACCAAGCTTGCATGGAGGGTTGGGGTCAGAAGAGTGGGAAACCAACCGGCAAGCTAATAAAAATAGGCCACGATCCTCGATGACTAGCAAAATATTTACCGTATTTTTCGCACCATCCGATGGCTAGCAAAATATTTACATACTGTAGTCTATAGCTTCGCCTCCCGATCATCACCTGCTACGACTGTGGGCCACTTTCTCCACGAATATAATGCACTCGGGGAGGTAACAGCTCGGATCTTCTGCCATGACGCTTGGGGGATTCTGGGGAAATTCGTAGTTAAAAACAAGTCACCTCCCAAAAGTTTTGATTATGACAAGGTTTCTGGGGTTAATTCCAGGCTGGCCATCCCAAAATCAGATCCCCTTTGGGGATGAGTTGGTAGCACAATACAATCCTTCCCCGGTTGTGTTGTCATTTCGAATGCGTCCGGCAAAAAACCAGGGAGAAACGGAGGGCTCAGTCTTAGGTTTTAGCCTCAAAAGCCAGGTTTTGGGCATTCCCAGAGATCAGGCCCCTCACGAACCGGCAGCCATTCTGGCTGAATTCTCACTCGGAGAAAAGTTTGCGCTCCTGGGAAAAATCGCAGAGCACCGTCACACGGAACGGAAGGATTTTTATTAATTTCTGCGTGATTGCGTTTTTTTACATCACAGTTTGGGTGACGTGCTTCTTCTCCCCTCCGGAGAGGGCATCACCGTTCACTTCCAGGTTGGAAAAGAAAAAAACAATAAAACCCAAAAAAGTGCATAGAGATGCTTCACAGTCTTCGTCTAATGGATCTCCCCCCCTCCTTCCCTCTCCCCCTACGTAATACTTCCCATAAGCAGGGCTGAGGCAGAGTGCTTGTAACATGGTCAACTCCGAAAGCACCAACGGCTGGCGTCAAGTCATGAAAAAAATAATAATACAAACTCTTCATTTCATCTATTATGTTACAGAAGGGAGGGGGGCCTGCCCCACGAAATCATGAGACCGAAGGCAAGAGGGCAGGAGGGGCACAGCGGCTCGGCCGACGGGTGGGAGAAGCAGTCTTCGTCTAATGGATCTCCCCCCCTCCTTCCCTCTCCCCCTACGTAATACTTCCCATAAGCAGGGCTGAGGCAGAGTGCTTGTAACATGGTCAACTCCGAAAGCACCAACGGCTGGCGTCAAGTCATGAAAAAAATAATAATACAAACTCTTCATTTCATCTATTATGTTACAGAAGGGAGGGGGGGGAAACAAAACCAACCCGCCCCACGAAATCATGAGACCAAAGGCAAGGGGGCAGGAGAGGCGCAGCGGCTCGGCCGACGGGTGGGAGAAGCCCCCCCTGGATGTCGGACCGGCCGGGCGACACCCCAGTGGGCGAAAAAAACACCGTCAGAGTGGAACAGGGCGGAAAAAGGAAAGCCACGGGGGGGGGGATGATGGGCCTCCTCCATGGAAGGTCCCGGGATCGGACAAGACAGGGTGGCGACGTAGGCCCGGGACAAGCCCAGACGGGCACAGGGAGTCGGAAAGCAGGGCACGCGGGCAGGGTTGGGGTGAGGGTGCAGCAACTAGTGAGGGACACACAACTTTTAGAGGGTGCTGAAAATCTGGAACCAGAGTTTTGCTGGTGAGCCGGGAGGGAAATAGGCAGTGATGCATCCAGGTCCTTTTGAGTTTGCTCCTCCACCACCCCTCTAAAAACAGCAATTTTATTTTCATTTTACTTTTTCTCCTGGGGCCTCCTATCAAGGCAAAATGAGTGGGGGAGGGAAATAGTCCCGTCTCCCCGGATGCCAAGAGGTTCCCGCTTGACACGGTTTAAAAACACACGCAAACAAAGCCAAATCTAAGGATCGGGACCTTCCTGGACATCTCTCAAGGTGTTGCTGAACTAAAGCTTCCATCGGCTCTTGGGTCTAGCCGCTGGGGATGATTGGAGCTGCTGTCTACAACGATGGCTGGATGGCCACACATTCAGGGACTACAAATCCCAGCCAATCTCCCCGACTCCACCCCAACAGGTCGCATGAGCCAAAGGGCGTGGGTAATGTAGTCACTCTTCCAAGCTCTGTTCTAGAGGGTTCCAAAAACCAAAACAGCCCTCTCCATTGCTGGTTCCAGATAAACGACAATGCCAAGATAGACTGCTCCTGCTGATGGAGGTTCCTCCAATTCCTGCCTACTTAGGTTCAATTGCCATGAATGGGAACTTTCGTCCGCATCCCTCTAATTCAATGCCACCCTTAACGATGAGCATTAATTAAAAAAAAAAAACCCAACATTCAGCTTTTCTGTCTATCTATAAGAAAGTGACAGCTAAAAAGTTCTGTTCTTCTATATCTCGGGCAGGCAGGGTTTCCAAATTCATGCCTGATTTTAGTTTGCAGACGGGATTCAGGGAAGCCTTCCAAGAGACAACATCCTACAATGACAAGAGCAGATTGCCTCTTATTAAAAAAACAATGAGGAAGCTCAATTCGCACCACACGATGAGGAGTACAGCCTCTGAGGGACATACAGCCACCCATTTGTTTTTTTTAAATCCTTGGCAATCCAGAGTTCTGGGGTTCATTTCCTCTACTTTTTAAGAGGTTAGGGATTTCGGGGTCCTTTTAAGCAGGGAGAAAACAGACTCCCTGCAGCCGGAACGGCCTTGAACTGGCCCGTCCGAGAGAAACAGCAACGTTCTGTGTAGCTGTCCCGTCTGTCTGACACAACCGTAACTCGTTTCTTCTGCTGACCGTCTCTCATCCTGCAAGGTCCTGAGGGTTAAAAATTAAAGAGCCCGGGGTGGCCGCTTTGAGGATCTCACCTACGAACCAATCCTCTTTTTTTTTTGAAAAAAAAAAAAACAAGGAACACACATCAAGGAGCAGGGGAATGCCTGGGGAAACATCCGAGGGATTGTCCCAAAAATTTCCCCCCCAGTTTCTCATGACGAGAGGCAGGTTCCCTTTGCCCCTGAAATTTCCTAGCTAACACAACTCACGCACCTTTACACATCACTATCCTTCTATTGCTACTTTGCAAGAGTTGCAAAGCACCTTGTCAGACTTTTGAACCCATACCTGGCCCCTTCCAGGAATCTCGGGCGAGAATTCCCACAAACCCCCAGACAGCTATCTAGGGGATGATGGGTGTTGTAGGCCAGAACCTGGAAGGGGCCAGCTGTTGAACGGTCTAGGGTGCCATAATGTATGGGTCAACCTCTCTCACACACTTCACTCATATCTGTCATGGTGGACCCTGAGGCAAATTCAGAAATTCTTCCCTGGTTCGGGTTCCGACGAATGCCCCATTTCCTGCTAAAACCCAGCCCCGGGTGCCTCCCACCCATCCCGTCCTTCAAGAAAACAAGACCTCTGGCTAATCTCTAAAACTGGCGGGATCATCATTCGGACAGGAGGTACGAAATGGCATCACTTAATGTCCTCCTCTTGTCAATGTCTCAAGACATTGCCTGCAGAAAACCAGCAGCTCGGGGTAAGAATTTGGACATCATTGGTTTTTTTCCCCCCTGCCAAAATAGGAACACATTTCTTATGGCTGTGTCAACTCTTGGCACCATTGTGCGCTCCTTCTCGCCACACATTCTGGGAGGCTGGAAAACGCTGCCAGGGTCAAGATTTCCAAAGAGATTGAAAGGTTTTTTTTTTACCCTGATGGCACGGCCACCCTGAAGGTGTCACCGCCAGCCAAGTGGGGCCTGCTATGCCCTCTCCTTGCGCTTGCCAGGGACTGGCCAAGAGGCAGGAGAAAAGGAGGAAGGGGGCACAGTAAAGGCCAGAAGCCCCAGGAGGCGGCCGTGGCTTCTCACCAGGGTCACACCAGAGGCCCGTGAGGGGCGACACTGGTTGTGTTCCTCCCTGTAGAAGTTGGCCGGGCCACAAACTGGGAAAGACGGTCTCCAAGCCTTCTCCCGAAGAAGATGTGGCTAGGAACTCTTGTCTGGGTAGAAAAATGGGACGGCCCTGCTACAGAATGGGGAGGGGGAGCCCCCGTGGCGCAGACCCGACGGCCACCAAACAAACACCACAGACACATCGGGCGCCCTGCAGTGGCTCAAGCAGCTTTCAAGGGAGGGCAGTTTGAAATCGCTCCTCCAGGAAGTTGCCACGACACTTTTTCCTCTGGAAAAGCAGCTGCTGAGCGGGCCACGCACAGTACCACGGAAGGTGGAGTGAAGATTCACGCCAGCTCTCGCGCACAGGGGGACACGCGCACACACGAGCACACACGGGGGGAGAGAGAGAGAGACCAGACTCTGTGGGGGGGGCACATCACCCAGGCCATGCACGAGCGTGGGCGTCAGTGGGGCAGCCACGGATGTATCTCACAGAGGGGACCAATATGGAGAACGGCGACACGGGGCGAGGGAACCTGGGTGTGGAAGTCCACGTTAAGCCAAGGCACCACTTGGGAGGGGAAGAGAGGTGTGTGTTTGTGTGTGTGTGGGGGGGTGTTGTCTGTCCAGGACAAGGCCATGGATGTCCGGAGGGGGCGTGAGGGGTGGGAAGGGAAGGGAGCAGGGGGGCTTCTCCCCCCCCCAGCAATGCCAGCTTGGGAGCAGCCACCGGCCGATGACAGAAGCTCGCGTGCTCGGTGAAGCAGCGTGCGTGAGCTCCCGCAACCACGAAGCGCACGAGGAGGCAGGTACGGTGCAGGGCGGGGGGTGGGTGTCGGGCGCCATCCCGTCCCCTCCACCTTGCCGGAGGCGCCCCAGGGAGGCACGGTGTCTATTCACAAGGACTATTTACAGGAGACAGGGTGTGTCCCCCCCCCACACCGCCCTCTTCCGTTGCTGCTTCCGGCTCGTGCCAGGCACACAGCAGAGAGAGCCAGCTCTTGGAAAGGGGGTGGGGTGGGGGTGAACGGGTGTTGTGGGACGCCTCTGGGGCTCAGAGACCGGCTCTGGCCAGGGGAACTGGAGGTGGCTGGTGGGAAACGCTCGGCGAGGGGGTGCCCATGTGGCAGACCCCCCCCCCAATGTGTGGGCTCCGCGCAGCTCATTCTGACACTTCCGGGTGGACGGGCAGGCCGCCGTCGGACTGGCGGTGCGTCTCCCAGAAGGCGTGGTCCAGCTGCTCCAGCTGTGGGCTCAGAGGAAGCTGCATGGCCAGATGCATGCGGAGCGCTTCGAGCCACTGCTCCAACCGACTGAAGGAAGGCCTGGAGGGAAAGAGCAGGAGAGACCCTTATGGGTTCGAGCTCAGGAACCACCCTGGCAGGTCCCTCTCTCTGGCTTAGCATCCATCTTCAGCTGTATCCCCCCCCCTCGGGAGCGGAAAGGCAGCAGCACCTCACTGATGTTGCAACTAGCCTCCCGAGGTAGACTGCTTCTGTGCATGGAGGATTGTTTGTTCCATGCCAAGGGGATTGCGGAGCGAATCGGGCCCTCCGTGGAGGGAGCGCCTGGGGCCCCAGGTTCTGGCAAGGACTGCAGTCCCCCCAGTCCCCACCCCAGCGTCTCCCTCTTCTCCACTGACCGTTTCTCAGGATCCATGTCGCAGCACCGGACAGCGATGGGGAAGAAGCTGGGCGGGGAGGTGGGCGGACAGTAGCGGTCCAGGAAGCCCCGGACGTTGAGGCCGAAGTCCAGGGTTCGAGGCAGGTAGTCGGGATCCGCGCTGACTCTCCCAATGATCTGCACAAAAGAGGAACAGAAACTACGCAAATTAAAGTCTTGGGATTTCACTGCTGTGGACCGTTTAGGTTTGAGGAGATCCCCGGGCAAGGGATTCGGAAGCCCCTAGGATCCCTCACCTCCAGCCAGGATCAAGTCAAAGGGCTCTTCCCCCCCCCCACCTTAAATCCTCCGCAATTTTATTTTTTGGAAAAATTATGGGACTTCCAATCGGAGAAGAGAACCATCGGCAGCTGGTGTTTCAAACAAAATTAGAAATACATTCCCGAGGCTGCTAAGCCTTGAAAGGACATGGGACGGAGTTTGAATGCACTCTCCTTCTGCAAAAATGTGGCTCTTTTGCCAATCTGTCTAGTTTTCCAAGTTCCTGCTCCTCCTTATTCTCATGTCCAGTCCGTCGAGGGATGAAAGAACCTACTTTACCCTTTTGCGGGAACAGAAGAAAAAATTCTGTGGCTCCTTCTGCTCCTTTGTGGCCCCAAAAAGAAGCCCTATATAGTGGGATTAAAATAAATCCAGCCTAGGAAGGGGTCGGGGTCAGTCTGGAGCGCCTTTCTGTGTGGGTTGTGTGAACGCTGGGAAATCCACTGCGCTGGGCCACGCCACGAGCAGTCCAAAATGTGATCGACCTTCCTGCAGGATCACACACCCGCAGGCACTTTGATTGTGCTTTTTGGCCACACTGGTTTCACCCTCCAACGCCCTTCCTCTCTCTCTCGAGTAGGAGAATTTTGCCCCCCACCCCAACCTAGCCTAGCTACTAGCTGGACAGGATAGAAATGAATGAATGAATGAATGAATGAATGAATGAACGATCTAACTATGTATTTTTTTCTGTGTATAAGACGCCCCCATGTACAAGACGCCCCCACTTTTCTAATCCAAAATTAAGAAATCTAAGTGGGGCTTAGCAAGTGCAGGGGGAAAGGGATCAAAGCGCTGCAGGATCGCTTTGATCCCTGGTTTCCCCTCCACTTGTTTTTGTTCTCTCCTCAGCTTACTTCCGTGTATAAGACGACCCTAAATTTTTAGTCTAAAGATTTTAGACAAAAGTATAGTCTTATACATGGAGAAATACGATAACTTCTTTTGAAGAACTGACTGACTAACTAGCTAGCTAACTTCTAGAAATTTGTCCGAGGATCTCATGTACCATCTCAGATGCCAACATTTAGCATAGAAATGTACCATCTCAGATGCCAACATTTAGCAGCTTTTTCCTTCCTTTTTTGCTTCCCTCCCCCATCATCCCCCAAAAACTTGCCTCGCAAAGTATGATGCCAAAAGAGAAGACATCCACTTTCTCGTCGTAGCTCCGGCCTGAGAGAGAGAGAAAGAAAAACAGAGGGGAGAGTCCATCATCACCCAGATGTCAGGTGCTGCATGCTGGGTGTGTGTGTGTGTGTGTGACCAGAGGCTGTGCGTCCTCTCTGCTCGCTTACTATCGGATTTACAAGCCCCTCTGCATTACAAAGATGTCAGAACCACGGTGGCCAAGGCCCACGATACAAACATTTATAGGAGTAACAGACTTGTCCCTTTTGCTGCCACAAAAACTACCAAGCATTCTGTGAAATCTTAAAGATTGCTAGGTTTTTTGATGGCAATACAGTGGTGCGTCGCTTGACAACGTTAATTCGTTCCAGCGATGCATTCTGTGAAGTCTTAAAGATTGCTAGGTTTTCTTGATGGCAACACACATTCAGTTATTTGAGGAAGGCCCTGTCCTGCTGCTTTCACAGGTATATTTAATGAGGATAGGACAGAAGGCATTTTCTGGGGCTGCTACCGAGGCTGTGGAACTCCCTGCCTCAGGAGGCCAGGCCGGCCCCCTCCCTGACAGACAAAGACTTTGAATTTTAGGAAAACCTTTTAACAATCAAATACTGTACAACTCAGTTTTATGACAGGATGCGGCATTGTGTAGGGGAGTGAGTCCCTGTTTTAAAAGGTTTTTTTTTTAAACAGAATTTACCAGTTTTAAAATAGGTGTAATCAGCTTCTCATGTTATAACTGGTTATGTTTTTAATTCTGGTCCTAGCCTGGAAGCTTGCTGGGCAACAGTGTTCTTCACTGGGTGGCGCTTCCAAGGGCAGCCCCAGCTCATAATGCCTTGCAGCAGTCTAGCTTTCAGGCTCCCAACAGCTGCATCGCTGTGACTCTCAGACTACAACGTATGGTTTGTAATGGTGTGTTTACACACTGATCTAAGCTCGTATGAGGGAAGGTGGGGTCACGACGTGAGGATTATTATTATTTTTGCTATCATCATTGTCATTATTGCCATCATCCCCTGTCTGCCTACTTCAAACCAGCTCCAGCTCACCATTGATCATCTCCGGGGCCATCCAGTAAGGGTTTCCCACCACCGTGTATCGCTTCCGGCGGTCTGGCTTCTTCAAGCTTGCAAGCTGGTTCTTCTCGTCCACCATGAGCCGGGCGAGGCCAAAATCAGCCACCACCACGCTTCTGTTCTGCACCGAAATGAGAAGTCCCGGTTAGGGTTCAGACCTCATGTCAAGCTTCTGTTCATCAGACAGAAGAAAGGCCACAGACGGAGGTGAGGTTTGGCTTCCTATTCTGGCCAAACAGATCAGCTAGGTTTTTTGACTGAGCATCAAAAACCTGCTGAACCTGATTTAACTAACGTGTGGTCAAAAAGAGGAGGCTAAGACTTTTAATTATACAAGCAGCCACCTCTTGTTTGAACCATTTTGGGGGAATTGTCTGTTTAGTTCTTTCTGCCCTCTTTCAGTTTATAGCAGATGGCAAAACATTTTCCCTCCTCGTGCAGAGAGAAGTCTGTCCCTGTGATGACACATGCTTTTAAAAATATTTGTATCTTTTCCCTCTCTGGTGACTAAAACATGTTGATGTGCCGTTTTCGAGCAACGATGCTCAGGCTGGTGACTAATTTCTCACTCTTTAATTTCTGCAAACATTTTGAAGCACAGCGTGGTCTGGGGGCCCAGGAGAACCCAAGGCCCTTCCACCTTAAAATAAACTTTCTGCCCTCGATCCTTCAAGCAAACCTAAGGCCCCTGACATTGGAGTGGAAAGGAGGCCTTTGTGTAAGTCCTTTTTAGGGCCCTGGCTTCGTGGGATCCAGATTCAAGTCTCCATTCAGCCACGGAACTCAATGAAGGACCTTGAACCAGTCGTTCTTTTCTGCTCTGGCCTACCTCGCTGGGCTGTTTGGAAGGCCAATACTGGAAAGAAGCGGCGCACCTTGGGTGCCCCCTGTAGGCCACCAGAGGGAAAGCAGGAGATACACGTCACCAAAAAGCCTGTAAACCCATAACCCCCTTACCTCGCGCACAAGGCAGTTGTGGGTGTTCAGATCCCTGTGGATGATGTTCATGGAGTGGAGATAAGCCTGGAAAAAGGTCAAAAGCAGAGGTGCAGGGCAGGGAAGACCAAGAGGCAAGAAGGTTAGACTTTTATCCCCTACTTCTTTGTTTTATAGAAAATTATATTTATTTATTTTTATTTTATTAGATTTATACCGCTCCCATCTGGACCAATGGTCTACTCTGGGAGGCATTGCAAAATTTTAAAAACAACAGAACCAATAAACATGCAAACATCTAAGATGTGAAAACTGTAAATGTTGAGATAATATTAAAATTAACACTGGGGCTTTTCTGTACGAATATTACAGTTTCCTTTTTGCCAAAAAAAAGAGGGGGGGGGTCTATTTCGATCCTCAGAACAGAAACGAGCCCACTGGACAGACGGCTTAACTGGGGTTTCGGAAAGGACAGCGGCTAAGATGAAGCCCGCCCAACATGACACTCCCTCCCCAGAGATGCTAAGAGCGACTACCTCGCAGGGTTGTTGTGAGGAGGAAGAAGAAAGCCTTGAACTCATGAAAGGAAAGGAGACATGCAGAAACGTTTACAAGGAAGCCACGAAAGGGTGGGATCTCTCTCCGGCCCTGTACGTTGCAGGTCAGAGGCCAGTTTTCCCACGGACTCACCATGCCTGACGTGATATCTTTGGCGAAGCTCACCCGCTGGGTCCAGGGATACTGGCTGTCCTGTTTTTTTTGGGGGGGAAGAGATGCTACTGATGAGCGAGAGATGCTGGGGGACCCCTGAATGCACCTAGCAAAGCAGGAGGGGGGCAAATCCCAGCAGGTCTGAGACACTGTGACAGAGCAGGACGTTCATTATTTTGTTTATTAGGACGCTGCTTTTACCGCCGGAGAGGATGAGCCGATACGGCAGGATTTTCCGCCTCCCAATGCAAAATGAATTTGATCGACTGCGATGACCACGGATGAGGCTCTAAAAGGTTCTCAAGAAGCCCCAGATACACGTGTACATGCTTCACCGTGTCGTGTCTGACACCTCTCCCCTTCTCTCCCCGTATCCTCGCCTCCCCCGTTTGGCATTCCTCCCGCCCCTCCCCGGTGCCCTCACCATGCTCTTGATGATCCCTCGGAGCGTGCCGCCCTTGATGTACTCCGTGATGAAATTCAGCCGCTTGTCCTTGTAGAGGACCCCAATAAACCTCAGCACATTGGGGTGTTCCAGGCACCGCATCACTTTCACCTGGGGGGGCCGACAGAGTGCCAACCTGGTCAACTATGGCATTGACCCAGGAGTTGCCCACAGCCAGCCGGAAAATCCAGCCCCCCCACCTCGGACTGTGGGGGTGAGCAGGAAGGGTGCCCCATTTTGAGACCACATTAACGCCTTCCCTTATTTAACCACAAGCCCCCCCTTAGCGAACGATCGGGCCTCTGTGATATCGTGAAAGGGCCATTCTCGGGCTAAAGGTTAATAATGGGATGCTCAGAGAACCAGTTATGGAAGGGTAACCCCCCCACACACAAACACACACAAACACTCTAGGAACCTCAGAGGCCCTATTTTTCCAGAGGGAGAAAGACCATAGATTAAACTTATCCTATATTACTTATTTTTACAACATTATCCCTCAAGACACGCAAATATTTCAGCGCTACACGCCCAAGATATCCAATATGTAAACAAAGCCATGCTCTCTCTCTCTCTCTCTCTCTCTCTCAGATGACTAATTAAGAAGTAATAGCTAGCTAATTTTGCCGAATGTAGATGGTGGCAAGCTAATGTTGGAATAAACAGATTTTTCTCTCCTCTCAAGGCATGCCTTCTCTCTAACGATGCATTAAGCATAATGTCTAGCCAACCAGTTTTCTGCCCTTAGAGGCAAAAAGAAAAGCAGTATAAGGGAGTAATAGTGGGGATTTAGCAGGTTTGAGGTTGAAGGGGGGTGTTTCATGGCCACCAGACAGACCCACCTCTTTCAAGAATGTCCTTTGGGTCTCCTCATCAAAACGGATCAGTTCCTTCATCACCATGACCTCTCCCGTTTCCCGGTGCGTCACCTGTCAAAAGAGGAGGAGCAAATGCAGGGCCTCCTGAGAAGCAGAGACGCCCGCTAGAGGCGTGGAGCCCCATTTCTAGGAAAACGTTAAAGCCGCCAGAGATTCCCCCCTTCCTGACCCGAGGACAGCCAAAAAGGGACTCCGGGGACCAGCGTTCTCCCTCTGTACGGTAGGGGCGAGAATCACAAAGCCCATCAGGAGCTTGCACATACATACACCCACCCACCCACCCACACGGTCAGTTCTGTGACCCCCAAGCCCCTCCTAAATTCTTCATCGAATTTCCAGACCCCATAAATAATGAGCAGAATCATGGTGAATATTCCAGGACAAGAGAAACAAGACGTTAGAGGGTCCAGCTTCAGGGGGTTTCCAGAGGAGGGAGCAAAGAAACGTAAACAGAGTTCCATCCCACCCCAAAACAAAAAATCGAGGTGGACTTCTGGTTAATTCTGGTTTGTGGGGAAGGCAGGACGCTGGCATTTTGGGGAGGTGGGTCCCCAGTGGACCTCGGAAAAGGGGATCCCCCAGAGGGCGATCAAGTGATGGGTGGGACTACGAAACCCGCGTACCTTGATGGCCTGCCCGAAGCAGCCCTTGCCCAGCACCTCGCCATGGATGAGGTCCGAGGGGCGAAAGATGCGGTGAGGGCGCGAGACGACCCGGAGGGATTCCGAGCGGCCGATGTCTCTCCGCTGGGAGGCGGGAGAGCCCAAGTTGCTGGAGCAAGGAGCCTTATCGATGCTGCAACTTCTCCTGCAGAAAGGAAGGAAGAAGGGGCTTCACCGGGAGGGCAGGTGGAGGATGATGGCCCTCCCGGTTCGGGGCAGCTCATTTTGAGGACTGGCACCCTCCAGCTGGCATGGATGCTGGGGAGCCTGGGAGTGGTAGTCCCAACTCCAGCACCCATCAGCCTTGTTCACTGGAAGTTCATGTGGTTAACTTTGGTTTTCATCTTGACAAATATTTCATATAGTTTTTTAAAGATTGTATAGTGTTTTTTTTAAAAACAATGTAACTACTGTATAGTTTTTCACTGTTGTGAGCCACCTTGGGACCTCTATGAGAAGAAAGGCAGCAGATAAATATCATAAACAGGTAAATAAACAAGCAACTAACAAAGTAAATAAACAGTAAAAACGGTTGACAGTCAGTGATGTTGACGAAGGCAGGCAGAAAAGCATTTAGGATCTTTTTTTTGCTGCTTGTTTATATTGCTTCCTTTCCATTTTGCAAACACCTACAATGCACACCTCTAGAGATGTGTACTTTTCGATGTCGCATTTGGAATTTCAGGCCCGGTGTCTTAAGCATTGAGACTCTCAACTGGTGTGTTTTGTTATGAACTGTAACATGCCCAGCGGTCTCATGAGGAAGGGTGGAATATAAACGAAAATAAGAATATTACTATTAATAATAATAACGCAGCTGCACGTTTTCATATTTCTCTCCTAGGCCCTTCATCCATTTCTTAATTTCCATTCCTACAGGAGAAGGAAAGGCGATGCAGGGGGAGAAATGATCCTCCAGGTATGGGGCTGGGTGCCCCACAGCCCTCCCCCCATCTCCCCAGATCCTTACATGACAGAGCGCTGGCGAATGGCAGCCGGTTCTGGGCAGGGGGTGCGGCTGGGCGAGTGGAGGGGGCTGTGCAACTCGGAGGGGGGGCTGCCCTCCAGGGCTTCGTGGGGGTCGTGCTCGATGGTGAGCTGCAGCAAGCGGCTGGTCTCCTGGATCAGAAGGTCAATCTGTGGGGAGAGAGGAGAAGAGGGCAGGCTAGGTGAGGGGCAGACACCTCGGAGCGGCCCGGGGTGGGTGGAGACAGGTTAAGAAGCCCAGCTGGAGTAGTGAGTGTTCATACACAGCACGATCCTGTTTAGCACTCGGGATCCAGTCTCAGGAAATGGGCTGGTCAATGGATCAGCATGAACAGAACAGTTTGTTTCCAAATTAAGTCCAAAAGGAACATAAAGCTAACAGACTGGAGGCACAATCTACAATGTCTCCTAGAGCTCCTGTCTCTCTAATAGTGATATCCTATTACAGAAGAACCCCTATATCTGTGGGATCAGTATCTGTCATTTCACTTAGACATGGTCTGAAAATATTAAATACAGTATATTAAAAGCGAAAAAAAACCTTAAAAGTATGAATTTTCATGATGTATTTACCAGAACTGGCCACTAGATGGAACCCGAGATCATGCTATGAATTCTTGTTGTCCAAGTCTATAGCATGGTCTCTGGCTCCTCTAGTGGCCAGTTCTGGTAACACAGGCGAAAATGTATTTCTGGATTTTTACTTTTCTTCTACCATGCTTTGTATAGCATTCACTATTATTTGCAGTTTTCCACATCCTACTATAATAGCAACTGCATAACCCTGTCCTGCTGAGTAACCTGTGACTTCTTGGAACAGGCATACTCAATGAGGACTGGTCTCCCTAAAGAGGACAGAGGCCCAGTTTCTCCAACCGATGATATTGGTAGATGGGGCCTCCGGGAGACATGGGGACTGGTCTTTGCACTCTGCACCTGAAAAGGATCGGGCAACCGGAATCCAGACAGGGTTATAATGTTTTTAAACCCCATCCCTGGAGTAAAAAAAAAAAAACACACCAAAGATTCAGAACCAAGAGAGGGAGGTAGGGACAATCAAACCTCATCGAGGGGGACGTGGCGGATCGGGGTCCCATTGATCTCCAGGATGCGATCGCCCACATGGATGGAGTTCTTCATATCGGGGCTGATGCAGTCGGGGTCCAATCTGCAGGTGAGAGAGGGGTTGAAGTGGGGCAAGGCCTTTGGATCTGACACAGTCCATAGAAACAGACTTCCCTCACTCTTTGGAGAGAAGAAATGCAGAACCAGTGGATCGCTAAATAGTTTGGTTCCCTTGTTGCAGAGTCAGAGGTTGGGAGTTCGATTCCCCACTCTGCCTCCATGACCGGGGCTGGACTGGATGACCTCTAGGGTCCCTTCCTGCTCTGCTGTTCTAAGATTATTATATAGGCTTTGTCGAATCAAGGAAAGACACACAGTAGTTCAGGTGCTCCTAAACACTGACAGAGTAGAAATTAAAACAACCGGCCCATCTCTCCATCGATGCAATACTCACTCTCGGACGCGCACGGTGTGGGGGTGTTCCGAATTGCTGTGCTGGTCGATGGAGATGGAAAAGCCGCGCTTCCCTTCCGAAGAGGCCGGGATGGACACCAGCGTGACCGTGTGCGGGATCCGGCTGCCGGGAGACTCGGGGAGCAGCTGATCCATCACCGGCGTCACCACCATCTGGTAATAGCAGCGCCCGCTGTGGGCACGAACACGGGCTGAGCGCTGCCAATCCTCAAACAGCATCCTCGTTGGGGGGGGCAGGGGGAGGACAGATGAGTCCCCAGGGAGAGAATCAAGGGTGTCCCAGGGAAAACTGTGCCAGGGCTTGGGAAAATGGGTGAGGGTTCGTGGCACCAATTTCCCCCCCCCAACCCCATGACATGCACCGGGTGGGACCGCACCACAGCATCTGCCTCCCGCTGTCTAAGGTCAGAGTCGGCCCTTCCTCCTGCCTCGGGGCCCGAGGAACTCCCTGAACGAGCTCAGCTCTCCTCCCTACTCACCAGTAAAGCTTGGACCGTTCCACCAAGGCATACGTATCACCATCGCCGATAAAAACACGGCAGTTTAAGCAGCTGAAACATTCCGGATGGTACTTCTGCTCCCCAGCCACCTAAGCAGGCCAGACGGAGAGAGAGACAGACGTGAGCATTTTGGCCCCGCTCCGAAGGGAGAGCCACACACTTCAGTCCCCGGGATTTCCCACGATTACACCATTTTCCCTCTAGGCACCCCGTTCTTCCCAACGGCCAGAGTGATTTACTTGCAAATGAAGCCTGTGCTTCCTTCCCGAGGACCAATCGGAAAGCGAAACAGGCAGAGAATGGGGGGAAAGCTCCTGAAACAAACAGGCCCTTTTTGCCTCTCCAAAGAGCACCGCTTCTCCTAACGTGCTAACCGTATCGCCTCGTTTGACTCTTAGCTCGCCTTATTCCTTGGGGCTCTCCAGAACTGTCCTGAGGGACTCACAGAACGCTTCTCCCAAAGTAAAGTTGGGAAGGACCAAAGATCGTCTACCTGGAACGGGCCAGCCTCTCTTTCACAGACTTTACCCCGGGGTGTTGTAAGGTGACAGTGATTAGAAGGAGGAAGCGGAGGAAGTGGAGAGCTGATCACATAAAAAGTGAGATGGAAAGTAAATAAATAAAAGGCTCCTGCTTCAAGTCTACGGACACCTCACGGGCTCCTGTCTCTGCCTCCTCCACCTCCCTCCTTTTCTCCTGCTATATCCCTTTCCAGTCCAAACTGGAAGCTCCTAGACAGAGCTATAACCACTGCACCTCACAGCCGCAAGGCCCTTTTGTAACTCCACACCCCCTGGGACCGCCTGACGGTCGCAGCCCCATCCCCAGCCTGTGGTTTCCTGGCAGCCCTCGTAACTCGAAATGAAAGGAGGTGCTTCCCCATTCGGCCACGGGTGAATTTCTGTTTTTCCCCACCTCCAAAAACCCCCAGCAAAACGCCACTTTTTCCCCACAGCTATGGGGCTTCTCCTAAAGACTCCAAGGCACGTTCCCATAAATGCTCTGGAGGAGACCCCCCCCCTTTCCCCAGAGCACATGGTCTCCATTTCCAGCTGGATAGAGAGCAAGATAACGTCTATTCTGCCTCTGTAATCTTGAACTTTCCTACGGTTTCCTTCTCATTTTCTGACGGAGCGGCCACTTCCCTTTGGCTGTTTGTCTAAACCGACCAATTAAGGTCTCAGTTTTCTACCTCCCTGGGCGTCCTTCGTTCAGCAGCATCAGCCTTTTACGTTCCTAAAACAGTATCCTCTCCTCACGTCCTCCTGACAATTTAGACTGCCGGAGTCCAAGAAATCTCCTGCTTATATTTCTGGCTCAGCTTTCTCCCTCATGAGGAAAGAGGGCAATGGGGCCAGGATCGCCCCCCGTGATGTTTTAAGACCAAGGGGGTTTTGAACCTGACCCCCTTTAGGCCCCAGCTTTTAATGCCACGGGGTTAAATAAAAAAGGATCATCAAGGATCAAAACCAAAATAAAATAAAAACAGAACCGATCCTCCTCCCTAACTTCAGCATCAGCAAAGGCAAAACCCGGCTAAGAAAAGTCTTCTCCCCTTTGGTTAAAACCAGCTGTGCCAGTGTTGGCGCAGGATCAGGGCCACGGTGCTGAGCAGCCACCTTTCAAAAAGGCGTGTGGTTTTGGAAATAGTGGGAGTAACAGGAATAATACAGGAATTTAGAGCCCTTCCATCTTTTGAGTCCCAGTTCAACCCAAACTTTCTCACGAGGGAGCGAGAGCTTGGTTCTCACCGACAGACACATTATAAACCAAGGCCGGCATTTCCAGGGAATATCATCTGGAAGAAATAGCAAGCGTGTTCTCTGTTGATCTAGCGGGTGGATCCAAGAGGCCAGAACAGATATTCCAGATCAATGGTTAGGGAGAACTGCCTAGTGGTAAGAGCTAGCTGACGGGGGAACGGCAGACTCCCAAGGAAGGAGGGCGATTCTCATTCATTGGAAGTCTTATTAACAGAACGTAGGGGGCCACTTGTCTAGCAATGTTGGGTTCCCCACCCTGACACGGGGTCAGACCAGATGACCTCTATAGTCCCCACCAACTGCATGGTCTTCTGGTTCTAATGAAAGCTTCCTCCAGGAGGGGGCTGCCAATCATGATTAGGTGACACGGCCTTGATGTTTGAAATCAAAGAAGGGAGGGAGCAATCCACGGGGTATGTTTCGGTTTTCATGGCTGTAACCTTGGTTTTCCTTCACGTGCAGTCCGAAAGGGCACTCCTCGGGTACAAGCACCCCTAGGGAGTGTCTCCTGACAGTGTGTCTGGGCTCAGAAGTCGGCTTCACAGCCCTGTCTCGGACAAAGAAGTCTTGTCCGACCCCAGGTTCAGAAGGCCACCCCAGGCTTAAGGTGCAGGAGAACCGACATGGTGAGTTCACGCCAGTGAGCCAAACTGCAAAGTCTCTCTCCCCCCCCGGCACTCCTTACCATGACCAGCCCCTTGGTGATCTGCTCCGAACACCCATGGCACAGCTCCCCAAACTGCGACCAGTAGTCCTTCTTACAGTAGAGGCGCCCATCCTTCTCGTAGTACTGGTGGGAGAGCGACACCCCGCACTCGCAGCATCTGGGGAGACAACGAGAAAGCACGGCACGTCACACCCCAAGGCCTTTGTCACCACGGGGTTCCCTCAACGGCCCTAACAGCTCCGCCGGTTCCGAGCAGCGCCTTCCGTGAAATTGGTTGCTTTTGCTCCCCGTGCATTTTAACCGGGTCAACGTCCGAGCGATCGCCCTGTTAGGTAACGGTGATGCATTTTTTAAAAAAACACATCAATGCGACTAGAAGCGGTCAGCAACAAGGAAAAAAAATACTTTTAAAAGATTTGATGTTAACGCTGTCTGCAAAAATAAAACAGTAAGCTACGATAATGAAATACGGAACAGACCTATAACTATCATTATTAATAGCCCTGTGGTCCACGGACAACTTCCAGAAAACAGAAGCAGGGGGTGCCTTTCTTGGCAGAGGCCTTCGTCCCCTCAAGTTTCTCATGAGGAGAAGTGATGTGACAGGTTCACTTCCCCGTCTGGGCCCCGGCGGTTGCGAAGCCAGCACCGGTCTTCCCACGCCACATGAGGGCACGTCAGAAGCTCACCACGGCTCTGTGTGTGTGTGTCTGTGTGTGTGGACACCAGGCGGATCCCCTTGTCTTCCTGGAAGCTCCGGGTCACCGAAAGTTTCAACACGTCGGAAAGGCCGGTTTTGGAAAGGATCTCAGGAAGTCAGGCTTAAGTCACAGCCAGTGACTTGACTTGCGTTTTTCTTTACTTTTCATTGACCTGGACTCGACTCGAGCCCCGGCCAAGGGTTGTGATCCAGTTGCACAAGGAAAACGCACTCTGCACATGGTCAGAGTCACTGCTTTTAGATGACCGCTATTTCCCCGCAGCCTTTGGCAATCTGCACCCCAAGGCTCATCCCCCCCAAAGTCTCCCCAACACGGCTGAAATCGAACCCCAGTGACCGCAGATTTCAACACAGTCAGATCTGATTCTTTGCTGTGATGTTTTGCCCGACGCGGTGGCCCCAAAACCCATTCGGAGATGCGCAACCCCGTCCGTGTCTTAAGAAACCACATCCTCCCGGTGGCGCTGAAGCCACTGCGGTCAACTGACCCTCCGGATCCGTTCAGGAGCTGATTCATCGCTTACCTTTGAAACCCACAAGCTCATCATTTCTGTTCTGATGAATCGGCATTGGATCAAAATAGCAAGCCAGGTGCTTTCCGAGATCCCACCTCAACGCGGCCAGGGAACAGGCTGCGGCTCGCTATTGTGATCTTTAGTCTGCAAATCTTTTGGAACGCAATTCACCCAAACCGGGGTGTGCACCGAAAAGGGGGCAGGGGGGCCCTTCCTTGCTAAACACCTCTTCCAGTCACTTCTAGTCTTCCCCGGACTGACAGCTGAACAAAAGGTTTCACTGTTTGTTCTCACCTGTCCAGAGACGTGCCGGCTGGAGTGAAGGACATTCCAAAATGCTGTAGTCCCACCGCCTCCGGGGTGCCCTGATTTTCTGGCCGAGGGGCCTCTAATCATGGAACGCTATCCTCACTATCCTCGCCTTTGCTGGCGTCCCGGGCCTTTCCATCGAGGCCTTGTTCGTGAGTGGCGCTGGGCCACGGAGAGGCAAAAGGACAGGACAGGATGGTCTCAAATATCTCTCGCTGGTGGTCTTTTCTAGACAAAGCGGCCGCCAGCGAAGGCTGGTTTCCTTCAGTTTTCCTCTGCCGCCTCCCTTTTGCGCTGGGAAGAGGGTGTCAGATGACAGGTCCCGTGCGTGTGGGGGGGCCCCGCCATGCTTTCTGCCTCTTGCAGATCATGAGAGCAAACTGGGTACCTCCCACACCTTTCGCGCTCCCTGGAAATTGAGGCGGGAGACCCATTGGAAAGGGGGCCGTTTCCCACCCCGCCAGAAGCCTAACACACCATCTTTCCAAGCCCTGTGAAAGGGACTAGCGATGGCTGACACAACTTGGAGCTGGTGGATTTGAAGGCACAGCAACCGGGGGGGGGGCAGAGCTGGGAGCAAAAGGTTGCATTCGTACACAAACGCGGACAGACACAAAAGCTGTATTTGGAGTCCAAAAAAGGGGATTTCCCCCAAGCGCTGGCGTCTCTTGACAAGCCGTGGTCGATTTTAGCTCTTGACGGTGCTTCGGAAGGGTGCAAACGCAGGGTGCGAAAGACGGCTTAACATGACGCCTTTTAAATGGGCTTAAAGCCATTCTGTAAATGGTTGTGATGATGTTCAAGGTGTTCCCACTGGCTTTTTTCCACAGAGTCACAGAAGTCACAAATTGAGGCAGGCTGATGAGATATCAATGGGGCATGCCTGGGATCTCATTAATTAGCTTCAATTCACCAACATGGCCTCGCCAACTTTACTTCTGTGTGTGTGTGTGGGGGGGAGGAACGATCCAAAAGATTTTGGGCGGGCTAATGAGATATCAATGGGGCCATTAATTAGCTTCAATTCACCAGCATGGCCTCGCCAACTTTACTTTTGTGTGTGGGAGGAGGGGGAGGAACGATCCAAAAGATTTTGGGCTAATTGATTCCATTGGATTATTGGTTTAGATTAGGCATCCTTCAGTCTCGAGAGACGATGGTCCCGTGCTCCATGTGGAGGACTTGGAACAGCGTCTAGTGTGGCCGAGGAGGCCAGTTCGAGAGCGACCATCCCTTCCACACTGAAGACAAATTCAATCTGTCTCCTGTCCAGCTCCCTGATTTTGCTGCTTTCGTGACTTCCTCTTTGCCTCGGCCTGCTGGACAAGGGTCTCTTCAAATTGGGAGAGGCCGTGATGCAACGCCTGCCTCCAGGCTGAACACTCAGACGTCAAGGTTTCCCATCTGTTGAGGTCCATTCCTAAGGCCTTCAGATCCCGCTTGCAAATGTCCTTGTACCAAAGCTGTGGTCTCCCCTCTGGGGCAATTTCCCTAGGGGGCGATTTCCCTGCACTCATTCTCCATCCGGGAGATCTTTTGGAATCCGACCGTCAGCCATTCTCACAACATGCCCGAGCCAACGTAGACGGTGCTGTTTCAGTAATGTATACATCATTGGTTTATTGATCTATTTATTATTTCAACTGATGTATTTATGTATTTGTTTGTTTCAGCCCCTTACGGCACAATCTCTGGGCTGTGAAGGCACCGGTTCTAAGGGCTTTTATTACTGAGTTGGGTTCGACCGGATTTTAATACTTCTTTTACTGAACTTCCGCTTGTTTCAATTATGTCTCCTCGGGATCGTAAACAGCCTTGAGCACGGCCTACCACTGGGAAGGCAGGGCAAAACTGAAGACACCCTGCTGGGGTCACACACCCCCAAAAAATCCGGCTGCTTCTGACTTCCTACAACCCTAAGATGCTCAAGGAGCGGTTTCCGCCAGGGCCACCCCCTAGATGGCTGTTCTAGCCTAACATGCATGGGGTGGGGGGGTAAATGTGCACAAAGACATGCTCAGACTTATTCTGGGGTCAAAGTGCCAGGAGTTTCAAAGTTGGGAGCGGCTTGGATTCCCCGTGTCAGGAGAAATGGGGGGCACTACATCCGACACGGAAATTCATAGGCTGGTTTTTTTTCAGTCGTTCCGTTTGTTGACTCCAGAGGAAGTCTGACCACATCCTGCAGGGAGCTTGCTCCCCATAAAAGCCAGGCTGCTGAAGGAGATACTGGGGTGGACCCGAGGGATCCCACAGGCGGATCCACTTTGCAGCAGCTGCTTTTCCGGTGTGATATGACTCAGCGCCCTCCGGCAGCGTCTCTTTCGGTGGTTCCCTCCGTCACTTTTGCTGCAGTGCCCCTGCGCGCACAGGCGAGGAGGCTGCCCACCCCACCTCTCTCTTCTCCCCCACCCTCTGCCCCTTTCCTTTTTTTGCACAGACTGCTTCCCCCCCCCCCCAATCGATCTGCAGCAGCCCAAGACTGGCACCTTCAGGGGAGGGGATTAGCTTGGGAGGGAATGACCCCAGGCAGATGGATTGCCTGAACTCTGACCTGCTCCCACACAAAAGGGGGGGGGAGAAAACCCTCCCACTAGACTCTCCTTCCCACGTTACCCTCAAGGCACCAGGGCTGTTTATCCTGTGGCCAGGGAGTGTTGGGGGCAGAGATTGAAGGCTTAGCCAGTGCAGCCAGCCTGCTGTGCAGAAGGGGGAATGTGAGCACGCACAGATGTGCCCCCCCTGCCCCAATTCAGCTGCATTGCATCAGCCTGGGGGGGGTGCTTGAGGGGCTCAGAAGCCCCCTCCTCTTTCCATCCCGCCCGCCCCTTCCTGGAGCCGGGCTGGGAATGCCGAAGAGCGATGACATCATGGAGGGGAAACACACACCAACGCACGCATGCCTGCGTGTGCACACACACATATACACACACATGGATACACCCCAGCCCATGACATCATCTTTGCGGAACTTCCCTGGGCTCAAACTCCACGGCAGCCAATCCGAGACCTCGGTGGGTTAACCCTTCCATGACTGCACCGCCAAGACACACACACATACACACACACAGCAACCGGATAATTGGCAAGCATCCAAAAGACAGAGAAGCTGCCAATTCCATCCCTTTACCCCCCTCCCTTTGCAGGATCACAACCCCAGATGGAAAAACAGAAGCTTTGACCCTTCTGGAGAAGAAGCCTGAGCAAGCCAGCGCAACCAGGTGATCGGATCAGGCCCGGGGAGGAAAAAAAACGCCAGGGGAGGAAAAAAAACACGCCCGGCTTGGGCACTACAGCACCCAGAATCCCCCTGGCCTGCCTTCTGGGCTTTGTAGTCCAAAATCCGCTCAAGTTTCTGAGCTTTGCTTGTTCTCTCTCGGGGCCTGACCAGACTCAAGTGCAGGATGAGTGCACGGATTCCACCTCCAGCTTTACAGGGGGCTTTAACCGCCTCTCATTTTATTGCTTTATACACACACTGCTCAGAATAGCGCTGAACAGTCGTGGGGCAGTAGACCCACAACAGAAAGAAATAAAATAAATAGATTTTTAAAAAGCCTGAAAGGACACCCAAATGATAGGTCTTTCCGAGGATGGGAGCAAAGGTCAGCCTCGTTTGATATCCGTGTTTCTGGTCCATCCACTGAGATGCCACTGCTTCAGAGCTGTATGTCAGAACAGCAGCACAGACCCTCCCTAGCCAAGAGCAGTCTATCTCTGGACCCCAGAGCCAAAGAAGAGAAGCAGGCCATTGCTGCCCTAGATAGCCTGCCTGGATAAGTCCACCCTCCAAAGTCGGGCCCCTGTCAGAAAGATGATGATAGTCTAAAGTGGCCCTTCCCCAAACCCGGAGAGACGCCGCACCAGCTCTGGGCAAACCGATAAAGCGTTTCAATGGACGGATGGAGCGAAATGAAAAGTTGCAAAATTAAGATCTAATTTTAAAACTGAATTGCAACATGAAGGCTGCTTGGATCATAAAATCTACTTGAGTCACCCGGGGGGGGGGAATCCCTCTGTATTGAAAAAAATGGGGCATAAATCCAGTGTATAAACAAAACCAATGTTCTATTCCTCTGCCTTTGTTTGGAAGGACAAAAACATGCTTTTTTCAGCTCAGCCTCAGGTCCTAATGCTTTATCCTCTATGCAGGGTGATTTGGGGCTTTCGACGTCTCTTCCGCCTCCCCTCTAACTCTGCCACGCCCATCCCAATGAAGAAGAGTCCTATAGGTCTCTAAAGCTTGCCTCTTTATAAAAGTTTAAGGGTCCCCTAAAGATACGTTCCACCTCTCTTTTGGGCCAAACAGTCTCCTGGACGGAAACATTTGTGGCGGCTCAAAGTGGCTCAAAACGTAGATCCATGCCCTCTTTTCGCTTGACCTCGCCATGGATTGTTTTGCTTATCCTGCTCCCCCAAATTTTAGCAGCTTTGAATTAAACCCGGAAAAGATGAGCTCACTGAGCCCAATCTGAACTCCTCCAGTTTTTTAAAAAAAGAAGCAGGGAATCTGACAAAACTCATCGAAGCGATGAACTCCGCCAGGCGTGCCTCTGTGATTACAGGAGCAGTCTATCTGTGAAGAGCTGCCATTAAATCCAGAGCCCCAAGAGTAGTTGATGATGATGATGATGATGATGATGGTGATGATGATGATGATCATCATCATCATCATCATCATCATCATCATCATTATCATCATCATATCATTTCCTTTCTTTCTTTCTTTCTTTTTTTGAACTGCTCTTCCCAGAGGCTCAAAGAATGCAAAAGTTCTCAGAAATTCTAGACCCGGCCTTCCTTAAAACATCATCCTCCCACGCTTCCCGAAGGAACCCTTCCTCTCCCACAGCCCTGATGTTCCAGCCTGGTCAGAGGCCAACTCCATCGCCATCTGACCCCTGCGCGGGATTGGACTGACTTACTTAGCTCGCGAGGTCAAGAACCGGTTGTTCCTGAGCACCGTCGCCAACATGGTGGCCACGCTCTCCTCCTCGCCTCCGGGCTTCTGGTTGACTCCGAAAGGGCTCCTTTCCACTGTCTCCCGGAGCGCCCACCCCCCGGATCGGGCCAGGCCTCAAGACCACGGCCGCCAGAGTCTCGCCGCTGCCTTCTGAGCCCAAGGTCCCCGTCGGAGTCAACGGACAGGACCGGACAGCAGCTAGCCACACCACCTCTGTCTCTCTGTGTCTCTCTGTTGGGTTGATCCACCGCTCTGGGGCTCAGGCCCCGCCTCGCAGGAAGCGGCTGTGTAATCGCAAGCGCCCTGCACTTCCTCTGCAAACGCCTGCCTTGCCACAGCCTGTGGCCGAGGGGTCCTCAGCTGTCCCTCGGGACGCCTGGCAGCTGGCGTCGCCTCCAGACGGCACAGAGGCGGCAGTCCAGCAAGGGGAGCACCTGGCCTGCGCTTCCAAGCATGGCATGGATGCATCTCAAAAACCAGGCACGCTGCCCTGGGGCATCCCCCCCCCGGCAGGGCAGGCATGGGGACGGGGGATCGGGGCCCTCTCCTAAGCTGCGCCATTGACTACCAAACCCTCCGAGGAGTCCGTGGCTCAGGGGCTCGGTTGCTGACTCTCAAGCCCCCTCTCCTGACCGGGGATTCAAATGCGGAGATCTTTGCTTCTAGATGCAGGAATAGGGAGCACAGCAGGAGACCCCTGGGGTGGGCATGTGGGGGGTGCACTCAGGAGGAGCTTAGGCTCCTGGGTGGCAGGCAGGCAAAGCCTCCATGCCAGCCAGGTGCCCCGCCTCGAGCAGCTGCCTGTCTCTCTGCCTGAGCTGGTAAGCAGAAGGTAGGCGATGGAGGTGGTGGCCAAGCCAGGAGTGGTAGGATCATCAAGCTATCCTAAGATTCTCGGTGAGGGGGGGTTTGTGTCTCTCGTTCCCGACTTACTGTCCTTGGAGAGGAGGAGAAGGGAGCAGGAACTGGTTGCTGTTGCAAACGGGCCAGGTCCCACGACACGCGGCATGGCTCGATTCCTCGAGCCGTCTTCCTGTGACCGTAGAGGGCAACGGATCACCAGGATTTTTTTCCACCCATCAACCTTTTAAGGGACTCCATTTCAACAGAGAAGTACATGGCCTCACGATTCAGTGCTGGCCTCCCCTAGTTAATCAACACACTTCTGGGTTGATTAAGATAGCCATTAAACAGATCAAATCCAGAATTCGGCCCTGGAGAAGACAAGAGCGAGCGTTCCCAGCAATGGCTTGGATCAGCGACCCGAGGTCTAGGCACGGCCCCCGTGGTTGCATTTTGAGACCTCTGTACCTGTCATGGCTGCACCCTAGAGAATCCTGGGATATGTAGTCTGGAAGGGGGCAGGAATTCTCAGCAAGAGAACTCCCTGGACTTAAGCAAAGCATTTCACGCACTTTCTCAAAAGTGACAAACAACAGGAACCCAACGGGCAGCGCCAGGAGAGTTCAAGAAATGCCACTGTGTTGTGCTGATACAATCCAAATGGTTTCGCATTGTAATTCCCATCGTCCCCTACTGCAGAGCTGAACCAGCCTTCTGGATCAGTCCAACCATCTTAGAAAGTAAAAAGCAAAACTGGAAGTCCCCTCTGCACCCCAAGCACGGACTACCGGTGTGATTTCCAAGTGCCACATTCAAGCCAAACATACCTTTCACCCCCAAGGAAGCTCTAAAAAGTGGGCCCCTTGTTTCAAGCATCTATTGGCGTGTACCTGTGGTGTCACGGACACTGTTTTCAATTCTGTTTCCAGGACTATTTTGGCTGCAATTGTATTTTAGCAAGAATGAGGAGCGAACAGCGACTCCAGTTTCTTCGTGCATATGTGTGTGTGAGTGAATCTGCTCCGGCTCCCAGTCCAAACTTTAAGGAGAGCTATAAGGTGCTAAGCATTAATTTCAAAATGGGTTCAGCACTTCCGGTAATACCTTTAAACTTCAGATCAAAATTCTGAGCAAATTTCACTGCCCTGCTAAAGCAGCAGTCCTTAGCCCCCAGGTTTTTTTTGCCAAAGGCTATGCACCGAAATGAATAAATAGAACCTCCAACTCTGAGGAAGTCTACCTCAGAGCACCAAATACGAGGGATGAATGAATAGGAAGGGGGCTGATTGCCACCCTGCCGGACTTTCCATTTCCCACTGTTCTGTTATGGAAGACCAGGTGCAGGATTACCTTCGGCCTCCAAGCAGTCAGTGGTGGCCAGCGGCTCCCATTTCAGCATTTCTGTGAATCCAGTTCAGATTTCAGTTTGTACTCTACAAGAGCTGTCCAAGGTGCCAAACCTAGTTTGAGAGCGTTCAGCACCTCGGAGAGCTCCTGGAACAGGACCACTAAAAGCTGGGGTGGATTTGCAACACCCCTGGAGCTGGAGTGACCTCCCGCCGTCACTGTTTCAGAAGGACTTTGTCGGCTGCTGTGCTGCTTGGTTCCCGCTTCCCTTTAACCCGGGATGGGGGGGCATTTCTCCTCCAGCCACCTTCCGGAAGGGGTCCTACCTGAAACAGTCGGTGTGCCAGTCTGCGTTGAGGGCCTGCAGGTACTGCCCGTCGTAGATGCTGTGGCTGCAGCTGGCACATATTGGCAGATCACTTCCTGGAGGGTAAGGAGAGAAGACACACAACACGCTGAGGATAACGGGACCAGCTCTCACCTCTGCCCCCCAATTAATTAATTTAAAATAATTTTTACCCCGCCTTTCTTGCATAATGAAGTGAAAGGAGATGCAAATCGCTCTCCTCCTCCACAACACCCACCCTCTGAGGTAGGCCAGGCCAAGGAAGACCATGGGGTTGGCCCCAAACCCCCTTTGGTGAGCACCATGGCCAAGTGGAGATTTGAACCCAGATCTCCTGGCCCGAGTTGAGCCCTCTCACCATGACAGCCCACTGGTTCTCAAAGGGGACGAGGCAATACCCCTAACCACCCCTACCTACCCCACTTCAGTGGGGCAAAAATGATCAACGAGGCTTCCTAGAGCAGGAAGGGCTAACCATTCTGGGCGCCCGTCTGCCCCCCCCCATGGGAGAGAGGGGGGGAAGATCACCCGGTGCCCTCTTTTCCAGCAGCCACGGGCAATGGAGGATCGATCCTCGGTTTATATAACAGCAGGACCGTCCCCTGCTTCACCCCCCCCATGGGCGTGAGTCGGAGAAGGGGTGTGTGTGTGTGTGAAGGGCAAGCAGGGGGGAGGGGAGCCAGGATTTGGGAGAGGTACGTTCCACCCAGACACTAGATATCTGAGCCAGGAATGAGTTTCACCAACTCCGGAACCCATGGGGCACCACCAAGGAGAGGGAAAGAGCACCTTGAAGCATGGGCAGAGTTCTTTTCTCAGCCCCACCGCCCCCTTTCCCTGTGGCTGCCCACTTCTCAGTGTTGGGGGGGGTCATAGGATTGTAAGCCGCCCACCCTTGGTCCTGGGTTCAAGGAGGATCACCAAGTCCCAAGTTCAGCTGTCTTCTAAAAACCCATCAGTCTATAAAAATGGGGGCGGGTAGGAAGGTTCCCTCAACAGCCCAAGCCGGTACCGGCCCCTCCCCCTGCGCCGCGGCAGGGGCAGGACGCCCAGCGGCTCAGCAGGACCTTGGACAGCACCCTCCGCATTCGGGCCCTTTGTGCGCCCCAGGGGGTGGGTGCGGGATTCCCCCCACACACACACACACACAGGGACCGCTGCGAGTTCTGCGGGAGAGGACCAGCCCTCTGCACGTGCTCAGAGGCGCCCCCCTCGTTTCGCCCCCCTCCAGGCCCAGCGAGGCCGCGACCCCGAACAGAACGGATGGGTGTGTGTATGTGTGTGTGTGTGAAAAGGAAGGTTGTGGGGCGCGCCGGGCCAAGGACTTCGGTTTCCCCGGGGCGCCGGGCGCACGTGTGAATGCGTGCCGGCCG